TCCCGCACATACTTCCCGGGATGGTCGATGGACAATGGCGGAAAATGTTCAAGCTCCGCCGCTGTCAAACAATTCCGCTGTCGATAAAAATTGATGAGGAAAGGAGAAAGATGGTTTAGAGTTTTCCCCCTTCTCCTCAAACGCGTGCTGTCGCATCACCCTGTGCAGGATGCTCGCCCAGTGAATTGGAGTTCCCTCGATGACGCACTCCACAAAAGAGACCTGCCACAATGTGATGTAGCAGGCGCGGTGCGGCTGCAGTAATTGCATCAGCGCCGCGGACAAAGTCCGGCGAAATCGATCCTTGTAATCACGGGTCCTGTACCCATTCTTGGTAGACCTCCCGGTCTTGAACAGCTCCACAAATTGCGCCTCTTCTTGCTTGGTCACCTTGATGCTCTCACTGTCGAAAAGGAGATGCCCTGGCATGCCAGCACATCTTCCCAACGCCTGCGCCCAATCTTGGACTGTCCACCGGTCAACATGCGGACGCAATCCGCGCGAGGGTGGTCCTTGTGGCTCTAGCCACTCGCGCACCATATTCGCACAGATGTAATTCCATCCCCATAGCAAGAAATCGAGCTTTCTTGCTATTAAGCGCTCCTCAAAAGCGCGCAGCCCGTTCTGCGGTAGGCGAAGTGGCACCATCCGCAATCTGCTCGGTCTCGTCATTGCGTTCCTGGGGTTCGCTCGCCCGCTCATTCTACTTCCGCACCGCCCGGGTTTCTTTCTCTCTCGGCAAACTCTAATCGCCCTCAATTCCAAATCACGCGCACTCACTTCTCCCTCAATCAACAAGAAATCTCCTGTGCGACGTCGTCGAGAATGTTCCGCAGCCAGCAGATGGATGCGCGCAGCGCGCACAAGAGATTGGAATCGCGAATTCAAGAATGGGACGTTCTCCGCCGCCCGGTCGAAGGTCATGGTCGGCTCTTGCTCGTGAAGAACGTCTCACTTGATGGCCGCGCCGGCTGTACGCTGGAACGGTCTTCGCTCTCACGCGCAGCTTCACGCTCCGCCGTCGTCGATTAAACTCTCACGCTCGAATTGGCGGATTTGAACTCCGCGAGCGTGTTACCCCGCGGACATGCGGGCGTAGCGCCGAAGGCGAGTTTTCCGCCTTGCGCGGTACACTTGCTCGTACCGCCCCTCGGCCAATCCCCCTCTGTCTTGACGCGTGTGTCCGCATGTCGGACAAAAGTTCAACTCCTGCCTGTGCGCAGGCAGGAGCCTCGGCGGATGCTCCGCCGGCGCGGAACTTGAACATCCTCCTGTGCACAGGCGTCCGCCTGTGCGCAGGCGAATTCCGTGCGCTACGTCGCGCTGGCGCGGAAGGCGTTGACCGTGGTCAGCCGTCTCCGTCCAGTCTGTCCGTTCCTTGTCTCTTCGTCGGCGCTTCCGCCGCCGCAACTCCGTCCGTCCAAAAGCGCATCCACCCTTCCCGTCCGCATGGTCCGTACCGATTTGATTACTCTGGCGGCTCTTCCGACGTACGCGGCGCCGCGCTGGCGCGGAAGGCGCCGTACACGTTCTACCTCACAAGGCGCATTTCTAGGGCCCAAGGCGGATTTTCCGCCGACGCCGAAGCGCCTGTGCACAGGCGCGCGCCTGTGCGTAGGCGGACTTCGCGCCTCCCCTAACCCTACTTCGCCTGTGCACAGGCAAACGCCTTCGTCCGCGCATAGGACAAAACTTGATTCCCCCTTCCGCGTAGGCGGAATTCGCGCCGGTGGCGAACTCTTTCCGCCGTAGGCGACCGCCTCCGTTTCTTCCAATAGCGATAACTCCCTAAGTCCTCATCTGTTCCAAGCGTTCTTGGGCTCGTTGGAATCAGTGCGTCGAGCTCTTTCCAACGGGACCCTAACTTGGTCAAGGCGCCCGAGGGTTGACCTAATTATGGAGGGTTTCCCTACAGCCGCGGACGCAACCTCCGAAGGCGGGTTTTGCGCCTTGCGCCGTAGAGATCCTAACTGCAGAGCTCGCAGGGAGGGTGGTGCCTGTCCTTACAGCTGCACCCCAAATCCCAGATTCTACAAGATCCCTCGAGAATCCCCGCGATCTTCCGGATTCACTCTGTTTTGATGTACCGAAGGCTATTTACAATGCTGCCAGGGTACAGTTTTCCAAAAATGTTTTAATTTTCTCAAAATTGCCAAAAATGGGGTACCACATCTTTATTATTTTGCAGAAGTGAAAAATTTAAACCAATTGATGGAGTAAAATGACACATGACAAAAAAAATAAAGAGTAAAGAGATCACTATATATGAAAGACAAAGAAGGACCAAGGTTTTATGTTTCACAATCGATTTATATGGACTTGGCAAGATCAATAAACACAAAAAATGATTTTGTTAGAAAGTCATGATGTAGTCATTGCGGTACATATGAGAATGAAATCGTTTTTTAAAAGCATAAAATAAGTCCATCATCGGCTGAAATTATATGCATACGTAGATGTTTATGTTCAAAATTGTGCAACTTGTCAACAAAACAAAGAAATTAATCAAAAATTAGTTGGATTTTTATAACATATTATCTATTCAAAACAAGAATAAAAACATGTCACAATGATTTTTGAATGAAATTTAACAAAACTTTTTTGTAGGAAATAATTTGATAATATATCACCTTAAAAAAATAATTTGTCTTCTAGTAAATGAGTCAATAACTTTTTGGAGCATGTTTAGACATGACTACATTAGGTCAAATTTTTTTTGTTCATTAATTGAAAAATAACAAAAAAGATGTGATTTTTCAAATTAAGTATAATTTTTAATCATCTACAATCATTTGTCACTTTAAGAACACATAAGCTGATTATAGTTTTTTTGATTATAAAATGAGTGTCAAATAAGTTGGTTTTCAAGTCACATATGAAAATAAATCTTGTATTTCATGTATGAAAATTGCAAAAACATGTATCAACTAATTTTCCAACCGATAAGTATCAACTCTCAAACTAACTTTAATAGCTTATCATGAAATATCTGAGCTTAAGGCGATTAAAAAATAATTTGAAATCATAAATAGTCTAAAATAAACTATTTGATTGACTAAAAAGTATTTTCAAAATATGATTCAACTTGAAATCTATCTAACAATCTAATGAATGCTTCTTTTGTAGCTCAAGATTCAACAGACTTGTTCAAATCAAAGTCAAGGGGATTTAAAAAAAAACCCCATATGACTATAATGTATTCAACCGCGATGAGAAGGCTAGTGGAACTATCTCACTTTGATATCCTGGCTTCTTACAATCATAAGATTAGAGGTCTGCTCAACTATTACTCCTGTGCGGGTAATAGAGGAAATCTGCATATTTGTGAATCTTAAAAACAGTAAAATTTATAATCATTTTTGATTAATTAAAACTAAAGTGAAGGAACTCAAGATGGAAGTAGAGATATCTTGAAGTGTACAATCTATTATTGCTGGATGAAGCATATGTTTGTTTGGAAAATAGAGGAAAAAACTGGATTTATCCAACGTTAAATGAATGTTGAAACATGTTATTCTATTTCAAAAGTTATAATTTTTTTCAAATAATATTATATGTCATTTATATTATTTATATTAACATACAACATTGATTCAATAATCTTGATAATTCATGACAAAATAATCTAGTTTGAAATATTTTAAAAAATGAATCAAAGATCATAAAAATTATTTAAAAAGATCTTTACTTTCATTCAAAAAATTGTAAGTCATGTTAATTTATTTAGAAAATATATAAAATTTAATCACTGCATCTTTGATAGTAGAAAATATTTTAAATATATCTGCAATAAAATACTTTTACTTGAAAACCAAAAAATATGTAAAATTCCTTAATTAGTTAAGATTAAATTGAATATTATTATAAATTAAAATACGATACATTAAAAGGTTTCATTTATAACGGCAACTTGATCAAATCATGTGATTGGTAGGAACATTGACATGTTGACATATTTACATACCTTGTGCATATTAGATATATTTGCATGTCATCTAATACAAGAAATGGGATGTATTATAGGTATGAAATTTTATTTCTTTTGTTTTATGTAAATCACAACTTTGAGCATTTGATTCGATATAGTTTCATTATTTTCAGATTGATTCAACATAAATTCACATTTGCATAGACTTTAAAATATCTTTGCTCAATATACAAATTCTTATCAAGATTCTATTCCCAATTTGTGAGATCAATATAAACTCTAAATCGCTGTTCAAATAGGGAAACAAATATCCTCATCATGAACTCTTGTAGTATCTTTATTCTAGGTGATGGTATGTACATTACGCGAAGCTTGCAGTCTGCTTTCAAATGAATTCTATTTGTGAGGGAACTGTTAAACCAAATTTTTTTGAGAAAAAAACTGATTCCAATCTATATATCCTTTGTGAATCTGGTGCGTCGGGTTCAGAATGAAGTGATTGGATCTGTACCACAAGCAAACAAAACATGTTTCCCCACGTCCAACTTATATCATACATATCATTGATATATATATGAATGATATACTATACATATCATCATATTATATTTAATATCATTGACATGTTTGGAATAATGTAAGTCATCATTCATCATAGACATGAAACTTGTGTGAGATGTTTTGAAATTTTTTTAAGCTTCAAATATTTCTTTAGAATCTAATTTTTAATATAGAATTGAAGTATCCTAGATGGATATTCCATATCTATAGTACCTTCATCTTGCTTTCTATACTAGCTTTATAATTATTGGATTAACCCGTAATACCTTCTATAACATATCGAATTTAGTCTTCAACTCCAGATGACTTCATATTGTATTCATATTAAAGATCTGTGAGAGTCAAATTTTAGAATTTACATCCATTCAAGCCAAGATTTCTTCAATTTAAGAATTTTCAATCTAATCAATGATGTGATGTATTGTGATGTTCTTCAAACCAAATGTAGCTTATTTAGATCTGATACTTATTATTCATCCTGAAAAGTGACGAGAGAGTATTATAGAAGATGTTTCGAATTCTTAAAGTCTATATATCATCCTCTCGGAACCCAGCATCTCAACGGTCATATCAAACAGCTAAAAGCACAGAATTCAGAGTTGTAAAGCATACAATAGAGTAATTAGATCCATCTCACCAAAGATGAATTAGAATATGAATAAACAGATGGTGCGGCAATACCGTCTTCTTTTCAGCAATCGCCATCCCCTTGAACGGCTGGAGTCATTGACTTAATGCCCAGAAAATGTTTAGATCTTGAGTCGAACACAAACTGTACTACACAACTGCGCAAATCACTCTGGACGCAAAAGTATGAAATCAATATCGAGCAGTAAGCAAAAGCAAGAACCAGTGAGCAAAACAAACAAAAAATTTCCTGAAAACTTGTGCACGTCACAATAATCTCTGATCCATGTAATCTGGCTCACCTATGATCACACAAGAATTCATTGGAGGAGGAGATACTGATAACTCACTGAGCAATGATTATACCTCAAAAGAGCTTAGTCTAACCATAGTTACGTCCATGGTGACCACTCTAAGCGTCACTGTCGAAGGCCTTGAGCCTGGCTAACAAGTTCAGCTTGCGCTCTTCGTAGCCCAACCTTTTCATCTTCCATGATCTTTTGACAACATTCGGATTTTTCTCCGTGGAAATGAAGGAAGGGTCGGCGCGAATGGCAGCATGAGCCGAGGTGTACATTGGCTCGAGATCCTCGGCTTCCAGGCCCTGCTTGATGTACTGAGAGAATTGAGCATCGTACTTGTCTGGATCTTCGTCGCGCAAGAGCATCATGTAATCGGCGACATGGCCTCCGAGGATGAACTTGCGGTGCAGCTGAGCGTGGATTCTCTTGGCTCCTGTGTGGTATCCTCGAAACCTTCTGTCACTGTGAGGAATGTCCAGACCTCCGTCTAGAGCACCCTTCAAGGCTCCGAACACTCTACTTCCGGTGGTCGTTCGGGCCAGCCCAATATCCAACAACACCTTGAAAGGTCTCTTGGTGCTGCTACATTCTTCAACATTGTAATCTTGTCCCACATTCTCCTCGACGTTCCCCGCATACTCCTCATGAAGCTCGTAGCGATGCAATAGTCGCCGCGCCAGAAGAAGACCAACGCAATACGCTGCTGCGTAGTTGGTCAAGCCCGCCTTGATCCCGTAACGAGGGAGCTCATGACCGTAAGCACACGCGATTACCCTATCTCCTGCGATGGTAGCATAAGAAATTTGTGCAACAATGTCTTTGTTTGTGAACCGAATGACGAATCTGTACTTTGGGGTGTTGTACTTATTCTTGCTTTGTGCATTCAGACGTATTCGAGCATAGTAGTCCGTCTTTCCCGAGCGTCTGCGGCGAAACTTGACTTGAAATCGCTTGGAATAGGCTTTGCTCTTTCTAGGCATCACAAAACCCATTTCCCAAAATTGTTTCACAGCAATGAACTGACCACGGAGACGAGAGGAGGATCAGAAATGAAGAATTCCCTTCGAGATAGAACCTCTGATTATCTTCAACACGTTCTTTGTGATCAAGGGTGCTTGTTCACACAATTCCTGAATCTTTTGAATCGGGCTCATATCACCTGAATCGATATGTTCTGCATTACACATCGATCCGGGGGACAAACTGACATGAAAAAACTCATTTCATATGCATCAAAATGTTTTAAGGAACTTCAATGGCAGTAACGGACATTCATGTTGACACCTTACAGACAAGTTGTTCACAAGAAGGCATGTTTGACTCGAAGAGGAGAAAAGTTAGAGAGCACTTACATTGATAAAAGCTTACACCTGATCTCGGATATGATTATGACTGAAGCTTCTCGTGCTAAGATATCAAAATGTGCGAAGTTCTGCTACAAGAGGTGGAGGAAGAAGGTTATATAATAGTCAAGTCTGAACTTAAAAATGTGGAATTCATTTGGTCACAGAAATGAGTTCCACAATGTATTGTGGCGTCATCCTGTCAGAAAATACTTCTTGAAAGTTCCAACACTTTCTCTTGATATATTCTTCTGCAGCACTCGTTGAGAGAAATTGTTACAGAAAGTGAATGCCATGGCATCCCTCTGTGTTTTCTTTGTCAAAATTGTTCGTTTGTATACAAAAGCGACATTCATTCTGTGCTCTTGACTTCTGCGACGATTCAAAGTTGTCAGATTTTCTTTGGACTCGAGACGTCAAGAGAATAATGGGTTTCGACTAATCCTAGAAATAACCGTTTTGTTGGGCCAACATTCTTGTAATGTGAACAATAGTCAGTGACTTAGCTTTCTCACAGATTTGCCAGACATAATATTCAGAAGATATATCAAAGAAATAATAGGCGTTAATATTGAGAATACGACTTTATTAGAAAGAATTTCCGATATCCACAAGACCATTTTATATTAAATTTTTGTATCTTAGACGAATATCTGTCTGAAAATTAACCAGAATTATGGATTTAATTACGTAGATCTCAAAGTTATAGGCAATACAGCTGTAGAAGATGAGTAAATAATACTATGAGTTCAGGTAGACGAGAGTTAAGTGCTTCGGAGTGGTAAAAATAGCTTCAATTAATTTTGAAGATTTTTCATTTATAAGTGGTAGAATTCAAGATGATTCATTTAAATTTGATTGATATCACGAACATAAAAAAATGGTTGATATATTGTGTCATGTGTTCATCACAGAAGTGTTTTTTTTGCAAACATGTTGCAAAGTTTTTTATTTCAGAATGGCCCAGAAAAAAAGTAAAAAATCTCATAATCAAAGAATTAAAATATTGATATATTTCCATTATTTTGATAATTTAAATATATACCAAGTACACAGTGATTTAACAATCAGTAATGAAGATTACTTAGATGTAATTCCATCCAGTTGCACAAAAATAGAAAATGAGAACTAAGTCTCAAGAATATCACATAATAATGTGTATGTTAATTTTCAACTGGAACATTCAATGTTATATATTCTTCTATATTACTCGCTAGTGCATTATTTAAGATGATAAAACTGATTTTTTAATAAGAATACCAAGTAAGCTAAAAAAAAGCCATATATTAACCTTTTGTATGATAGGATTGATTCAATATCTCAATAATTTGTTAGAAAATTCATCCATAGCCCAATTTTATTTTCTTTTTAATTTAACAAATACTTTAAAAATTCTGATCCAAGGCTATTGCCAAACACCGCATAATTTCTAAAATCTTCAACTTGTCAAATATTGGATAGAGAAATATATTAAAGAAAGAAGAAACCGAAGGAAAACGAAGATGATAGGCTAGTTTTTGCTGCCATAATTTTATAATGGTTGGTATAAAAACAATATTGGAATTCTTAAGTCATAAATCATTCGTTATACTAAAATTAGCATCTTGGCTGATGCAAAATAACTCAAATGACATGATAGATTAGTTACAACGGTTTCTAATCATTGAAAACTATAAAATGCTTGTTAATGAATCATCAATTAATTCCTATAACATGGCATGAGCTTACTTCCGTTTTTTCAACATTTGATTTCTAGATCAAACAATGAACTGCAAGTTTCAAAGTGATTGGTAACTCCAAGGTTTGCATCATCTTTAATTTATGAGACATGTCTTTGGCCAATGTTCAGAGATGGAAATTATGCATTCTTTAATTTTTTATCTTGGAGGATTATGGTCTTAACTTTTCAATGCGGAATGAAAAATCTTGTTTAAAAAATGATTTGCTTAATCATGACTTGTATTCATGTGCCTGACAAGAACTTTCATCTTTTGATAAAAAATACTGAATATTTAGCTTGTATACAGTATATACACAGTTGTTTATAAGATTTTTCCAAATCATAAGCAGACATGGAAACTTCACTGGAAACAGTATACAAATTGTACGCAAATGCGATGTATGTACATCTGTGACTGTGGATGTCGATGTAGCTCAGATTAGTGCATGTAAGAAAGTTCAAAATTTTCTGGTGTTGGTTGATGATTTTTCATATGAAAGAAGGTACTTTCAGATCAGATGCCATTAGTGGAGATTTTAAAAATTTGAGCATAAAGTAATATTTTATTTGGAATTACCAGAGAATATTCTATGTTGGAATGACTATGTTTTTTCCGCAAGTATTTGTGAAAAATTCTGGTACGAGAGTGATACATGTTTCTTATTTACATACAGCATCCACGTGAAAAGTCTCGTATTTGAGGGGATTCATCACTTTACTAACACTGGAAATAGAGCTGAAAGATATTCCATCCAGAGATACTCATGGCCAGCAGGCACTATGGTTTCAAACGGTTAGACTTCGTGACTAATTTTGAAGATCCTCGGAGTGTAAACTTAATTTTAAACATCGCTGTGTTTGTGATCCTTGACATTGTTGTCAAACTAATGATGTTATCGAGACGTATCAGCAACATTTTCCTCTCGTCGATCAGTAAACTTTTTCCAAGTGACGGATAGGAGTTGCTCTGAATCTATCGATCAGGTTTCAGAAGATAAATGACAATGCTACAAATAATTCTCAGAGCACGTACTTCCAATGATTAGCACTCTGATTCATTATATCTGCGTTCAAGGTTGATGATCGTTGATGCCCGAGTGAGTCAATAATGGGCCCGTCCATATGCTATGTAGATCCTGGTGTACAGAAAGTCCATGTAACCGATGAGAAGATTAAATTTCATCAATACAGAACTTTGAATCTGATGGACCTGCGCACATGCCAGAAGATGGTGAATCCCTCATGGCCATCTCCAGAATTAAGCAGTCAGGAAAAATTACAGAGAGCAACCTTTACTGAGGTTTGCACAGATTGCACATCATCAATAGATTTTTGGAGCCTTTGATTATCATACTTTCCAACTTTCTCTAGGAATTGGGAACATGAAAGTGCAATTTGTAACTCACTGATTAGAGTTTATATCAGACGCTAAGTTCTTCACGAAGTCGAAGAACTGTCGACCGATAGCATAGACGGATAATTCTGCTGTGTATCAGCATTTGAGCTGTCGGCCACCACAGGCTCTAAACTGATTCATGAAAAATTCTGAATCTATATCATTCTCACGAATAACTTGGCATATGCACCTGTCCAGAAAAGTGGACAGGGTGCCCAAATTGTAGCAGCAAGAATCTGGAGGACACGGATCAGGGTTGTTTGGGTTGGGATCGGGCTTATTTAAGCACATTCCAAACAACAACACCTCCTTGATGTAGTTTTCGTCGCAATCGCGAGTTTCATCGCAGTCAGCACTGACAGCACTAGACAGTAACAAGAACAAAACTGAGAAAAGTGCAACGCTCACGGGACCGAGCTTCTCCATGGTTAGGAAGTGAGACGAATCGGACATTCGACTCCTAAAGTCAGCTCCAATGTAAACCTTCTTACCAACAGAACTGCTATACCTTCAAGGGATGTATTGTGGCCTTTATACTGATCCATAACTTGCGTCTCTGAACGACTGATTCAAGAACATCTCAACATCATCCCCTTGTAAGAGAAAAAAATCACTGCATAATATGTGCACGTATATAAGGCACGTCCATTGAAGCTTAGCGTCGTGCGCTCAGAATCCACATGTCAACTCAGGGACGTGGGTGACTGGCGAGCTCCAAAGAGCGAGGTACCAGTGATATTTTATACGAACATGTCTCTACAAAGCTTCAAAGCAAAAACTCATCAACGATTATTTGGATTGCATGTTGACTTCGGATTGGCAGACTTCGTCCACGACCCAGCTCTCATGAGTGTACAACTATCTTACTTTGGCGCAACAAACTATGGACCTCGGTCTTTGGGTGGAGAAGGTTGACTTCGGGCACATACAAACCTAAGCTGAAGGTCATCGATGAGCAAAGACTAACATCAAGAAACGAAAGGTTCGTACAAAAAGATCTAAATAAACAATTAGTTGATCTACAACAACACCAACCATGATTAAAAAATTCTATACAACAAGAAAATGATATCTTATAGATGATAAGAATTAACTTCATTGTAATTGACAAGTGCATATCAACTTGGCATCAAAGATTTTGTTGGCTTCAGTTTTGGACGATTTATTGCAGAATTGGGTAGCTTGACATCCCTCGTGAACACCAGCTTGTAAGACCTATTCCGAAATCAAACTACTGCATGACTAGTCTCAAGCTCATTCACTTTTACAACAATTCGCTGGCTGGTAGCATTCTGTCGCTAGTCGGGGATACTCGCTACCCGCAACTCATGTAGTTATCTCGCAAAGTTTTCGACAAGAGTACACAAGCACTGATAAACTCTTCTCCATATCTGGCCTAATTCATGTCGAAGCTAAACTGTGGCAAGTCTGATCACTAATTTCGAGGAAATTGGTGCTCTATTATTTGACAATATAGATCAAAGTAGGTGGCTAAGGTTGTGGTGAAGTCTTGACTGTTGAGTCGCTTTAGATGAGCTGATGATAAGGTAAGGTTGTGGTGAAGTCTTGACTGTTGAGTCGCTTTAGATGAGCTGATGATAAGGTGAGCTAGATTCTTTCCGGAACATATTCATAGCCACTAGCAATAATTCCTGAAAAATTCACACCATGTGCTTGGGTATAGACATATATCATGGGACGAGATAGATCTCAACATAACGCGATCATGAGAAAATTGAAAACTGCAGAGTGCATGTTCATAGTGACTCTTCTCCTCCGGCAAAGCTTGGGTTTACACAGCTGGAGACTTATCGACTCAGTTCGATATAGTTCATAAACAGCGAAATACATACGTAAAACGCTTCTTCTCTCCAAAGATCTCTATGCGTGGGAGGTCGGCTTGGAGAAATACTAGAAATACTAATCAGTCTTGCTGAGCTGGTCTAAGATTGAAGCACTTATGTGAATCTTTGAGTAAGCTTAACATGCATCGTGTTGGCGTCTTTTCTACAACTCAACGTTCCATGCAAAAATCAAAAAGAAATGCTTGGAATAATATACTCTGTCATCAACTTTTTCACCAAAAGCAGCTGCATATCAACTGGCCATCGTGTTTGTCCATCGGTAGATAGATAATCTTACTACCTCACAAGAAAAGGACGTGCTACAATGGTCAACACGAAGACGCCCTTCAGATTGGCCGTCTCCGATCTTAGAATGCTTACAAATTACAATGATCTGAGCACGCTCTGATTGTGTACATTTTAAATTAAAGGCAACTCATAACTGTACTGCAGTTGGGGCAGTACAGGTGGTCTTTAATGTCCACTCCAGAGCCTGACGTACTCGTCCGGTCTTGGTTCCCTCCGAGACCAAGAGAAACCACGCCAATTAGGTAAACTCGGTGGACTTGTAAGTCTGCTACAAGCTGCTGATCTGCGTATCATTCAGCCTTCTCTTCTATTCTTGAGATGAGGACTGCGTCATTTCAAAGCTGCTGCCAAGGATGATTAGCATTCTCGGTACCAAAATGCCAATATTGATCAGATGAAGGGCTGGGGACGTGTCCAGTGCATGCAAGTAAAGTACATGCAAGGTCCGGAAAAGATAAAAATAATAACTAAAGCTGTCGTTAGCATGACGAAGTTTGTGTCGTGTAGAAACCAAAAAATTTCACTGTGAGCTCAGAATCATTCATTCCCTCATCGCCATACTTTCACGGCTGGAAAAGAGATATCTATGAACTGATTGTAAGTTCTAGATAAGGTGGTGCGAGTAGGTCGGAAGTGGAGAAACAAAAACAGGCAGATAAGAATATTCAGTTCAGGTGAACTGAAAGAGGGTGATGTTTATATTAGATGAGAAATGTTTAGACAGAAGGACGTCAATCACATACGTACATCAATGTGATGAATCAGCGAATGAAAAAGTAGGGCGTTTCAGGAAGTCAACAGAAGGATACTCACTCACCTAAACTTACTCTTACCACCAGTTAAAGATCATGGTAGCTGTGCAAGTATTGGTGGACGAAGAGTATCGGGTACAGAAACAATACAATTTCTTGTCTTTCAAAGGCCGTTGAAGAGTAGTAAGCTTATATTCAGTCTTTAAAAGATCTCTTTCCAGTCTCAATGTCTAGAACTTCTCACTCGCAGTGGGAGGATAGTGCAGATTTGATGAATTTTGTTGCACCGCCTCACGGTAGGTATGCTTCTGATGCTCTTTGGATCAAAGCATTCCAAAGCCATTCTCACCTATCCTTCTGGCTGGGAGCATCTTTCTTACATTCATCCGTCAGTCATGGACACTTTCCGTCTTTGTCATCGCAGTTACCCTCGGATTTGGGATTGGGTCTTGTTGGCAAAAGTGTACTAGTACTCAGACTGTTCGATGATATTGTGTTGAGTAATGAAAGCTTTTGCAGTTTGGTCCTCGTTACTTTCTTTACCAAAAAGAGCGAGTAGCGGTAATACTATATACGTTCCCAAACATATGGTCTTCATGAGATACTCAACTGAGTTCTTATTCTCTCGTATGAGACTCACTGTGCTCGCTACCCCGAAGAGCCTGTGGGCGTTGGGAAAACGCCTGGGCTTGTCCGGAGTGAACCACGGCGTCAGCAGGCAGTCCACAGCGCATTTATGACGTTGGAACTAGCAGGCATCGCACGCTCCGCTGGGACGGGAACTATGATAGATGAAAAAAATATACCAACAAGCAAGAAAAAAAAGTAACCTTCAATTATTGACCGCCACTTTTTTCCTTGCTTCTTGGTATATTGTTTTTGATAATTATTATCGAGAACAATGTAAATGTCTAAGGATGAACTCGGTCAGGATAACAGCCCTCGAAGACAGGAGAACATCACAATACTAGAAAGCAATTCCGCGTAGCTGCATACAAACAGCACTCGATGAGAGAAAAACACCACAACCGCGTACAAACGGGCGTCGGAATCACAAGAGGCTGAATGTGACAACGAGTTCATTACAGGGGCGATTTGTCTATTTTGTCAAAATAGACAAATCGCCCCTGTAATGAACTAAAAAACAACCTGCTTATTTTACACTATGTAAAATAAGCGGGTTATTTTTTAGTCCATTACAGCAGTGTTCACTTTCGCTTATTTTATGGGCCCGTTCAATGCACTCGCTCTCTCATCTTTCTTCTGTCACCCAGTCCGAGATGCGCAGCGGGGATTCTTCAACAGTGGTGAAGAAGATTTTGAATCTACGCAAGCTCGAAAGAAGCGACGCGAGGCACCATACTGCATTGAGTAGGGGTATAGTGTCTGAAGTCTCTCAATGGTTACACAAAAGTTTACGTTTATAAGCTTGCAACGCAAACTTATAAATAAAAACTAGTAATCGCGTAACTTATCTGCTCATCATGAACCTAAAAAATCTGACGATTTTCTTATAGAACTCTCGCCTACGTTCCTAGGCGAATAAGCAATGCCTCTCCATAGAAACTAGTTCTTGAAGCAGGACCGAACGTTGTCGCATGCAGATGCCTCTAACATGTAACTGTCGAGGAAGTCAGGTTGATTCAGAAAGATCTCTGTGTAGTCCCCTCACAATACTCGTAGATGGCATGTTTGATCGAAACGACAATCCATCTAAATTCCATGACGATGGAGCAGTTCATCCAGCACGAGCACTGCCTGAGCTGGTGTTGCTTCCTTCGCGCATCCTACTCCTCCTCGCTGAATAATAGCCGGATTCCTTGGCTTTGGACTTCCAGTTCGCATCTCTCTCCTGCAGCGCCGAGACGCTCGATGAGATCATCCACCGTCATGGCATTCAGATTTAACATCGTTTAAATAAAACCTGATTGTTGTGGCGGGATGACCAGAGAATCTTTTGAATTACCTTTACTTTTTCTACAGTAAAATTCTCTTGTGATAATTGTGAAAAAGAACTCCAATCTCACACATCTATGAGACTGTACATCTTGCATCGTGAATGTCGTCAAAGACATATCCTGCAAAATTTATGCTTATTCGTATCTTTCATAATTACAATGTGGAGATGCGGGGACTCGAACTCCGTACCTCTCGCATGCGAAGCGAGCGCTCTACCAGGTGAGCTACATCCCCTTTCATACGACTTCAGCGGTGAACTTTTTAGACCTTTCAAGAGAGTTCCTTCGATGACAATGATGGGCTCATCGTGGCAGCGGTGAAGACGGCTCAGGCTCATGGGTCGATGACAGAGTCTCGAAGTACACGAGCCCTCCGATCTGCGAACATCGGACGCATGTGACAGGTCACAGAGAAACGATCCTCTTGTAACGGCCACAATGCCATCGCTGCAACGTGCATGCATTCCAGACAGGTCCTCTCCGGTAGCCTTGTGGACCTGTTCAAATTTAGGGGGCTGAAATGCCACGTATACGATGTTCGAAATGATGAATTCAAGGTGAACGCTCCGCGGACAACCCCTTTGCGCCAACTGTAGATTTGAATTCGAGTATGTTGGAAGTTGACAAAAGCGCAGCGGCGGCTGCTCAACATCTGTATTCAAACGTTCCTTGAGAGTCTTGAGGAGAATTGTGAAGGAAAAGAAGAGGAAAGGAGGTTTGAAAGAAGCTGTTTCTGGATTTTTGTCGGCATCTCTAAGAATTGAAGGTAGAAAAAAATCATTGCAGCACATTAATTTCTGCTCCTCTAAAACTAGCCGCAAGAAAAAAGTTTTATGAGTATGGAAAACATCGTCTTAAGAAGATGATATTTTATTAAGCGCTGAAGAATTTAGAAAAGATTTTGACTTCTCCTCAAATCGTTTATTGGAGGTGATTGCTCCAAACACCTTGCCGATATATTTCATTCGTGGGGTGTTTGGAGCAATCAACTGCCTGTTATTGCATGCTAATCGAGCAGGCTCAAAGAAAGCCGGATCAGAATTCCGTATAAAAAAGTGAGCTCATCAACGACGTAAAGTACGAGGACACTACTGTTTTGATATTTTTTATAATTGTTTGGAGGATAATTATAAATCAAACATACATAAATCAACATAATAAAAAATATATTGTAGATAAAAGACGTAATAAAATCCATCAATATGCAGAAAGAAACTGTTGCAAAAGCATTAAGTACTTAAGAGATAACAATGAGTCAAAAACATTTAGATAGATAAATAAAAGAATATAATAAAAATTTAAAATTTAAAATTATATCTATTCATAACGTAAAGAATAATACCAATCGTTGTGAAGATGTTTTGGAAATTGGCGCGAAATGCTATTGACTCCAAATTGTAATGATTGAACTACCCTCTTTTAAGGAATTCTATAACTTATTTCCCATCTTAGATGAAAGAAATGTCAGAACCTCAAAAAGTTCAACCATTTCTGTTCGCAACAATGTTTTCCAATTATTGCAATACTAAAAATCTAAAATCTGAAGTGTAACAGCTCCGGAAGAAAGAGTGAGATTCTCATGTGTGGAGCAGAGTGCTGCAGGCACTCTGCTCCAGGCGTTGCAGTAGCAGCTGTTGCTGGAGAAGGCGATGGAACACTGGCAACCACCAGTGCTAACACCAGCCTCTAAGCTGGAACAGATGTACACACTAGTCTTCGAAGATCATGAAAGTGTGCTCAGACCATGATGAGCTACCTGCACACATGTTACAAATCTAATGCGAAGGACATTTGTACAGGAAGACACTGTACTATACTATGGCATAGCCATTTGATGTGGGCTACCAACGAGATTTTGCAACGAAAATGTGGTACCAAGCGAGCTACAATCTTTCGACTTGAGACTTGAATGTCATCAATATATGCTAAGCACTTAATTTGAGATCATGCGGAACGTGGTTAAGGGATTTTTCGTCCCATCTCCTGGATAATCGATGACTCGTTGAATGTAACATATATGGCATATAAGGCCTAGTATCCCTTTCAAGGTTCAGATAACCTTTCACACCTTGTAAATTGAGAGCTGGACAGGAAATCTGGGTCCACAACGCACGAATATGTAACAATCTAAATTGAACGAAAGCAACTGAATCCTCTCGAGGACCACATTCTCCAATGCTGGCCAAAGAGGCTGAAGCTGGTTGAAGAGCATAGCCGTCGGTACAGGGCCCGAAGTCTCCAGATGTGACGATTTAGAACCGCATGTAATAATCAAGAGATCGAATCAGTTAATTAGATATATGTAGAGCACGGTCCTTCATGTTCAGAAACTCAGGACCCTATCCTCCATATTCGGCAGGATAGGCATCCTACCCTCAGTATACACAGGTCGCTCATTATAGTGGGAGCAAATTTACAGGATCCGAGCGCTTGCCAAAGTCTTCGTTGTACATTGCCCCTCACTGCATGGCGCGGCAAGATTTAATCATGAACGTCGAGGGACACGCCGGAGATTCGAGATTAATGTTTCGGTCAGGTATTGGGGAATTTAGAAAGCCTCGAAACGCGGTGGGACTCGTGTCTGCTTAAATACTGGAGATACCGTTAAAACTCGAAGGACGACGGGTGTGATTTTAGATGTTCAAAAAATAATATTAAATTGATGACATGATTTTAAATTGATTCCTCATAACAGTTGAGATTTCCGTTATGAGTGCATAATGTGGTCACTGAATTAAGTGGTGTAAGTTTTTGAAAATATTCTTCAGGCTTAAAATTAGATTCAGAAAATGGCTCTTGACCCATACGAGAATCTAATGCTCAATTTGAGATTTGAGCAAGGTAGGGACAAAAGATGAAGATGTGATAAATTACTTTTGTCAAAACGGTGCCGTCGGTAAAATCTACATTTGAAACTATTCTCATGCAAACAAGTGCTCTACCACCTACGTTTAGGTATTGCTCTACACAATTTAATTGCTATAATTTTTCTTCATGAATAAAATTAACGCACAAGTGAATTGTACCAGCAATTTAATATCTACATCATTTGATTGTGTATATGACAATCTCTGTCAATCCGTGGATTCTGACGTAGATATTCTATATACACTATAAAGCGAATAGAAAAAAAATCAATATATTCTTGCTCTAGCATTCTCCTTTGCAAGCTGCATACAGTTTTGAACAAAGAGTCTTCACAGATTTGGAAGATCTATGGCTGGGGCTATCTAGAAGCCTGCAGTGGCCGTAAAAAATACTTTTTCTTGTTGCCTGATACTTTATTGACTTCATCCCACAGAAGTGATGTCTTTAGAGACTCAGAGCGATTTTAGTGATATAGACATTAAATATATGTTAGTAACTAAATGAACTCAAAGAAGCAATTCATTTCGTTTGAATTCTTGTCATCTGTAATCAGGTCATGTGATGTAATCTAATGGACTACTCAAAAGAGACAGATCCACGAGGTGGTAAATTGAAAGAGACGGACCATGTGAACAACGAGCTTGACGAAAAATTGCATTGACAATTTTCCACATGCTTGTACGCGATTGGTGGTTGAAATAATGTGACAAGATTAGTAACTCATCGAACAAATTCCGACTTAAGGATGTCTAAGCTACAAACTGGAGGAGAGGCCTTCATAATCTCTCGTCTAGTGAATGATGCAATGCCAGGCCTGGACGATAGAAATCATTTTGCAAACAACGAAGCCAAGCAGTAGAATTATTTAGTAGAAATATCTATTCCTCGACGCCATTGCATGCGATCGAGGAAAATCAGGTCAAGGCTAGTAATACTTGCTTGATGGCTCAATCCGCCATCACGAATACATACTGCTCAAGTTCAAAGATCATCAGTATACTAGCAACGCGTCGATCGAAAGCTAGGCTAAGCAGTAACGGGATCAGTTTCAAGTTTCAGTTTGACTAAATAACGTTTGGGAGGTTGTCGAGCAACTATCGCATGCTCTTGTTATTGAGCAATTAGCAGCCTCAAAGTCATAAATCTGCTTATTACACTACAGCACTTACATGTAAATCCATCACAAGAAACTCCGTCACTTCCCCTATGGTATACGGGGAAGTGACGGAGTTTCTTGAATCCTTCGAGTCAGTACGGAAGTGCCTTGGTCCTAAATCATCGAGCTGGATGCGCTCTATACAAATGTAATGCAGGCGCGGTGACGAGAAACGTCAGCAATTAATTGTCTGCAAGAGCGAAGGGAAGAAGCCAGAGGCAATCAGGACTCATGACAAATTTCAGGAGTGCAAGATGTGGTCGATAATACTTTTGAAAGTGGAAAATACAGAGGGGCAAGTTTGGAACCTTCTTGGCGCCTGCAGTTGCGAGCCGCGTGCATCGTCCATCAGTCCAGCAGCCACGCGGCCAATTTTCTTGGGAGGCTGGTGATGTAGGTCACAATCTTCCTCAGTATCGTCGACCCTTGGCCACTTCTCGCTCCCGCGCGCAGCTGTTCGTTCGCTCTTTCCATTTCCGGAATCTCCACTACCTCCTCGAACACCGTGAACTTCATAGGCTTCTCAAATGTACAAATTATAGTCATCCTCGCCTCTCTCTCTCCCTTGCTCTCTATCCGCTTCAATTGGCAGGGGAAATCCTCACTATCACTATCTGCTCAGTTCTTTCTCCCATGATCGAGTTGCACTAGCATCAAAATGAACATTTTCACTGAAGAGCGTTCCCTTTGTCATCGTAACGAATTCTCCTTTGTACGTCAAACAGTTAAATGCTCTATGCCACGTGTTACTTCCACATTCGACTTCACCTGGAAACTCCAGGTATTAAGAATGAGGTAGAGATGTCCTTTTCTGGTCCGACGAAGATTTATTACATGAATATCTGCAATGTAACAGCGGACGCTAGACTGAAAAATATAGTTACATCTATTGAAAAGGAAAGAGAAAAATAAGACATCGCTACTGAACCGAGTTAAAGATTTCAGTGTGGAGATTCCAGAGCGGAATCATCCAGCAAATAACAACTGAAAGTAAAACGGAGGATTCTTGAAGATACCATACGCCCACAATACACTGAAATTCTGCATTTTGATGTTTAGGAGAGAGAAAACGGAGGAGATAGTGAGGATTTGCCGCTGAAACGGGAGGGAGAGAGGCAAGAATGATTTTCATTTGACAATTAGAGCAGCATATGAACTTCACTGTTTTGAAGGAGCTGCGCGCTTGATCCAGACGAGGCCGAGGTACATGATACTGATACTGAGGAAGATTGTGACCTACGTCACCAGCCTCTCGAGATAGTTGGACTCCATTTCTGCTGGATGATGCACGCTGCTCGCAACTGCAGGCGCAAACTAGCTTCCAAGCTCGCATTCTGTTTCTTCCACTTTCAAACAGATTATTACCACATCTTGCATTTATAAATTCTTCATCATTCTTCATTCTTTTGAATGCTTCTGATTTCTTTTGTTAGCTCTTGCAGACTGATAGTTAGTGAGACTCCTCGTCACCGCGGCATCATTACATGTTGATCAGAGCGTATCTAGCTCTATGATTTACGACCCAGCAGTGAGCAGAATCACTTCCTTGGTAACTCGAATGATACAAGCAACTCGGTCAATTCCCGAATGGATTTACATTTCAGTGCTGTAGTATAATAAATAGATACATCATGTTCAGGCTGCTAATTGCTCAGTAACAAGAACCTTTGATACACTTATACTTCCCAGACAAACTCACCAACTTCTATTAATCAATCCAAACTTGAAACTGATCCCGTTCCTGCTTAGCGTAGCTTGTTGACCGAATCTTGACTAGTTTACTCATGATCTACATAGTTGAGCAGTAATAGTCGTGATGGCAATGAGATGGCTATTGAGAAATCAAGTAAGTAAGACTAGCTCTCATCTGAATTTCCTTGATCGCATGCAGTGGCATAATAAATTTTCTACTGCTTGATTCGGCTGTTTGGAAAGTTATCAATATCGTCCGTGCCTAGCATTGAGTCATTCACTAGACGAAAAATAATGAAGGCCTCTCATCCAGTTTGTAGCTTAGACATCCTTAAGTGGACATTTATTCATGAGGTAAAAAAATTGTCACCCTTTTCACCCACCAATCTGTACAAGCATATGCAAAATTCTCTATTCAATTCCTCGTCTAGCTCGTTGTTAACATGGCCCGTTTTTTCAATTCACCAACCCGTGGATCTGTGTTTGTTCAGTATACCGTCAGATGATATTTCGGAAATGATTTGACTTTATTTAGTCCAATGACAAGAATTTAAACGAATTGAATTGCCTCTTTGAGCACAAAACTATTTATTAATATGAATCCAGATGCTGCAACTCACATGGCAGTACATGTTAAGAGTCGTTCACCTTAACAATGATACAAGTGGTGAAAAGAGTCGATCATTGTTGGAGGGTATTTAAAGCCTGGAATGTCATCAGCGGAGATATATTAGATTATGGTTAATATCTATTCATGATTGTCAACTTGATGACTTTCCCATCTCTTTTTTTATAGAGATAATTCTGTCTCATTTTCTTATAGTGAATGATGGGTTTTTTTGTCTTCAGAGACATCGGATGGAGACGGTGAAAATGTTTCTCTAAAGCACTTGAGTCCGAACAATTTTATCTCAATCCGAATTCAAGAGTTCGAACAATCGGAGTTTATCTCAAGTCCGGATCTTGAGTCCGAACAATCTTGAGTCCGAACAATTTCACCCAGTCACTCAAACTAAAAATATGCCGTACATCAACTAATTCATGAGAGGATGTGTGCTTCGTGAAATATAGAACATCATATTTTCTCAACTTCTCCTCTTTTTAGCTCAATGACAACCTTGTAGTGAACACTGGATTGAGCAGGCACTTAAATGGAGGTAAATTTAAGTGTGCATTCGGTACAGGTCAAGGAGCACCTTGACCTGTACCTAGTTCACAAGCAGAGTGAGAAAGAACAACTGCGAGTGAATTTTACTTCTGTAGATCGAAGTCTGTAATAACCCACCAAAGGCTAAAACTGCAGTATGGTGGTAAAAAAGATCGAACCCACAGGGACAGAGGCAACACACAGAGTAAAAGTGTCACGTTTAACAGACTTTTGTAGAGTTTGAATTCTAGGCGACTGTCACTCCCAGAAATACTGCAGTGCTCGACTCGGAGGCTCGACTCGGAGGAGGATCTCAACTCGGAGGATGCTCGGAGGATGCACGGTACAGCTTGATCACTCAACACACACACACACACACCTGAAACTGGCAAAAAGCACAACTCGGAGGTCGGTCAGGACCTCCGCTTCGGATTTCAGGAGGAAAGTGTCTCGCAAGTTCACTCAGAGGTTCTGCAGGAAGTGCCTCCCACTCCGGCTTTTACTGCCCTTCCGCCAGGAACTAGCGGGGGTACCCGGACTGGACTTCTCACTTCGGAACGAAGCCTCTACGTACGCCGTGGACGTCACCCTCGACTATCACACAAAACGCAGGGAGTGCAGACCCGACTGAGAACTTACTGAAAACACGATCCAGTAACACACACACAACCTGAATTACAAACCAAGGTTTACACGAAGTAATGAAACTTCACATTGGCATTCAGGGGAAACTTCCCGTAGGAGTACAATCAGGATATGTCACTCGAAGGAGTAAGGGGGAACTGTTCAAGTATCTAACTCGCAGCCGGCTCTGAGTATCAGAAATCACCCGCAGGTGCAGATCCGCACTACTCAAGTCTCTAACCGGGTACTAGCTCTGAACATTCAGCCGAAGGCCTTCAACTACAACATACGGTAACTTCGCTATGCTGCAGCTTCTCTACGTGGTGCCAGGACCAAAATGCACAAACACGCCAAGAAAGTGAGTTCCTGATCTGCACTTCCGAAACTGGAAGAGTCCCAAGGCAAAACGCCTTGATCTACTTTATACCCTCAAAAGATCCTAACTAGCACTACGCTATCCTATCTACCACTCGCAGTATCTGCGCGAAACCAAACTACTCTACTGCACTCAGCAGATCCGGTGCTGCGCCTCCTGCGCGCCGGACTGCTCCGCGTACTATCTCTACCTTGCCAGTCTTCCGACCGGCTGCGTAACCCCAGGCGTCGGAGCGCTGTGGTGACTTCCGACTGCAAGTGCGCCATAGTGTCGCGCGCACCCGACAAGAAGGTTTCTAATTTTCTCGCCACTCGCCGCCGACTCCGACTGTCACCTTCCGTCAATGCCGCCGCCCGAAGCTCGAACTCCCTGAGTGTGATCCTCTCTTGGGCTGCCACCTCCCAATGGGTGTATCCTTTTAGACAACGAGTCACCTGTGCCGCCAACTCTCCTCGCGCCCTGCAGCTGCTCTCCACCTCGGCCAGCTGCATTTCTAATCCCGCACGTTGTGCCCTCAAATCCGAGCACTCGGATTGCAAGTTGCACAACAACTCCTCATCCTCCTTGCGGGCTCTTTGACTTTCTTCTAAGGCGCGCGTCTGGCGCGCAAGCTCGGCTGCTAGGACTTTGTTCTGTCTCCGCTCCTCCTGCAGTTCCAACTCGATCTTTGCCCGTATTAGTTCGGCATCCGCCTGACTTTTCGTCGCCGCATCCTCCTTCTGCTGCTGCAAGGCTTGGTATAGCTTCTGGGTGACCGCCAGGTGTTGTCGGAGGGCGGTGTTCCTTTCCACATATACTTGGCAACTAGAGGCCCACTTTGCCACCTTGATCCTCGTCCTTCGCCTGATAGTCTCCACATAAGACTGCGGTTTTAAGGCACTTCCGTATTTGGATGTCTTGCGATCCAGATATCGCAGGAGTGGAACTATCTGTTCGCACAGCACCCCTGTTGGCGTTTTCTGCACCGAATCCGCTTCCTGCTCTTCCGAGCTCGTATCATCCTCAGTCTCGAGGATTTCAGTCGCCACCGAATCCCTTGGCGACTCCCTGGAACTGTGGCGCGCAGCAGCTTCTGCTGCGACTGCTGCTCCACTGCCTGCTAAAATATCCAGGGCAGTGGGAGATCCCACTGCTTGAGCCCCTGTTCCGGCTCGATCTTCGGTTTGTGAAGGGGTCGACGCCGCAGTGACTTTTGTCACTCTTGCACCGCCCGCTTCTGCTGCCTGTCCTTCCGGCGCAATCTGCGCGGAAGGTGTCCTTGCTGAAGGTGCGTCCGCCGAAGGCGTCTGGCACACTGGTCGTTGGCCCCATCCGTCTCGCAGTCGGCGAATCCGGCTGACTCTCTGTTGTCCGACTCGCAGTCGGCCGACCAGCAGTTGTCCGACTGGGAGTCGGATACACCCTGCGCGTCTTGACTCCACTTGGCCTGCTTGTTGGGGGCGTTCTTCCAGAAGTGCCTTCCGCCGAAGACGACCCTTTGAGGATTGTTGGCTCGTCAGCCAAACTCTCTTCTGCTTCCGGCCTGCTGTCCGGTTCAACGCGCCGTTCAGTTGGCCTTCCTTCCGCTTGTCGACCTTCAGTCATCCGACTCGCAGTCGGCCGGCTGTCAGTCCGTCCATCTCCTCCCGAAGACCGTGGTGCCTTCTGTGCAGAGGTATCTGCCGTCTTCCCTAGAATCTGAGCGATTATCTCTTCCTGTGTGAGATTCCGCCGGGTCGGAGTTCGCCTGGTCTCCTCAGTAACAGTTGGCATTTTGCGTGCCCTCTGTTTTGGTCGACTGTGAGGCTCGGGGGTGGGCCGACCACGAGTCGGCGCAGCTGGCACTTCCGGCTGTCTGTC